GTGTGTGTGTGTGTGTGTGTGTGTGTGTGTGTGTGTGTGTGTGTGTGTGTGTGTGCGTGCGCGTGCGCGTGCGCGTGCGTGTGTGCGTGCGTGTGTGTGTGTGTGTGTGTGTGTGTGTGGTCAATGGTTTAGAAGTCAACTCTACACAGCATTGATCTCCTATTCTCACCATCATTACTACCATGATTAACTGTCATGGAGGAGTAAAGAGAGAGAGAAAGAGACTCTTCACACCAGGTCTGAGGAACCAAGTACGATTTCCATTTAGTCATAGAGCACTTGCCATTTTTGTTCTGTTTTAAGGTTTCTGCCATTTTTGTTGAGGGAACAGTGAAGAGCACAACTTGTGCTCTACCCGTCCTGTTTGTTCACACTACAAGCTATACGTTCGGACACTCTTGAGTAAATTTTGAAAACAAAAAGGAAAAACATATTTCATCTAACAGCTGTTTGTTATTTATTTGTTTGCTTTGTTTATTCTATTTATTATTTATTTATTTTTTATTTATTTTATTTTGTCTGTTTATTGTTTTATTCTTTATTTTATTTATTTATTTATTTTTTTGTATTGTTCAATTTATTTTTCATTTTCTTATATTTTATTATTGTGCTTGTTTGTATTTAATTCATTTTTTTAATTAATTTTTTTATTTAAGTTTTATTTATTTATTTAAATTGCTATTTGTTAATTTTTTATGTAATTTTATTTTATTTGATTTATTTATTTATTTTAAATGAATGATTTGGACCAGCTATTGATGGAAAAAAGCCAACAAATGGGAACTCATTGAATACTGTTTTCCAGGATACACTTCATTAAGTTGTTAAATGAATATCCAAAATGAGCAGAGCTGTAATCTAGACAAATAAGAAACCCAAAAATAAGTCTCTTTATGATTCCTATACTTCAATTTGTTTTGATGGCTTTACTATTATCCTAAAATGCTGAAAATAGTAATAAAATAAGATTGGGTGGATGTGTCCAAACTCTTGACTGGTCCAAATTCAATAGATATGTGTGTGCAACCAGTGGCGGCTCGTGGGTTTTAAAATAGAGGAGGCACACTAATTGTATTGGTCTGGGATCCCTGCCGATTATTATTATTATATTATTTGCTTAACCACTTTAAAATGGCTTTTTGGTTGCTTTTAGTCGGAAAACGTAAAGAAAACGACATGCATACAAGCAAGATAATATAACTTCACTTACCTGGCCTATCACTTGAAGCAAACATCCATCCCTTCTTAAAAGTCTGTGTTAAAAGAGAGCTGCCTGTTGCACCATTTAATTAAGCCGACTGCTGTAGCCTATATCCAGCTTAGGCTGTTTTCCCTAAATTTGTATATATACTGTTTGAATGACAGCTTGGTAAATCTGCTGGCGATCAAATATTCAATATCGCTACTTATCATAACTACTAGGTACATTATCAGCGCAGCGGCAGACGTTCAAATTAATATCACGTAATTTACGTCTCTCTGATGATTTGTTGATATCAGAAGGGAGGCTAGCCTCCCTTTCAAGGGTTCTCTTCTCAACACTCCTCAGCGCTGAAAGTGAACACTCGATGCTGATTGGCTAATTTTTTTTTACCAACGGAGGCACGAGAGCTCAGCGCTCGCTCGGCCTCCCCCTCCCCTTCTCTATCACCTAGCGGTTGCAATTACATCAGCAGATTCGGCACATTCGCGATAGAAAAGCGGCGCTTTCACGTTATGATATTACAACTGTGAAATTACAAACAAAAAATACACATTCTGAGACATGAACTGAAATGAATTGTGAATTTTATTAACATTAAATCGTCCTCCTCCCATTTTCACCTCAAAATTATGGGGAGGCTGTGCCTCCCCCGACGAGCCGCCACTGTGTGCAACAAGTTTAAATTTAATCTCCAGGGCAGTTAATATCCTTAAGCACACTGGCAATAATCTTTCACTTTACAGGATTGTGTAACTGTAACCGGCTCCAGCTCTAATTCCCTGATACCATGATTGTCTGACAGGCAATTAAGCTGCTGCCTGCTCAGGGGACGTGAGTGATTTGTGCTGTAGCGCTGGAGCCGTGAAGCTCTGGGCTTATGAGTGCTCAGGTTTTACTCTAGTGGACTTTAGCAGTGCTGTGCTTTATTGATTTGAACGCACACAATAACAAATGAATGATAAACAGGCAGATTCTTTGAAAATAAACAAAGGGGTAGTGTCCCATTCATATTAAAAAATATAATAAATAAATGTATTCATGGAAAAAATAATACAAATTAATTTTTTTAAAAGCCCTTGCAAAGGGATTTTTATATTTTTTGTGTTTTTAATACATCTTTCAAGTTTTGTTTTGCAACAAAAAATAGCAATATTTTATAACAATAACAATAGCAATGGTTGCAAAATAATGTTTTTAAAACATTGTTTTATTTTTGTTTATTTTTTTAAATGTTTTTTCAAGTGTTAACAAATAAATAACATTTATTTTAAAAATTGTTGCAAAATAAAAAATATATAAACATTTTCAGGTTTTTCTGTATTTTTTGTAACAAAAACATTTCAACAAATTGTTGCAAAATAAAACTTTAAAAAATACTATGTAAAAACAAACTTAAAATGCAACATGAGACTGGTAAATTTATATTAAACGTATTTTTTTTTAAATATTAATATTACCTTTTGGCAGTTTTGTCATGCATCTTTGCCCTTTGTTTCTATTTAAGTTTACTGATGGCATTTTGTGTGCAGTGCTCAATCAGTCCTTTAAAATGAAGCTCCTGGCCCTGACCGCTCCTGTGTTTGACCTGCCGCTATCTGGAGCTGAAATCAGACATCTTGTCCACGCTGTGAATGGATCTCCCTTTAGGACCCTGCTGTGAATGTGAGCTGATGGCTCTTGTGAAGGCCATTTACAGCCCGTGTAAGGGTGATGTTTTAGACTCACCGTAATCGATAAATGAGTGTGTGTGGGCTTAATGCGCTCCTGTGTAACACTGATTCTGTCGCAGCCCACAGCAAAGCATGTTTTACATGCCAGTCTGCCAATTCCTTTATGAGTGTAAATTGTTATAAAATCAGTGGATTAATGGAGTCTGAAAGAAAGGGGAACATTTGTAGTTAGAGAAATGGAGGATAATGTATTGCTCAGAGACTGCTCTTTCAGAGCTCAGGAGATATAATGGACTTCTCAGTTATGTTTCATTTAGGTGTCAACTTTATCTCAGACGTCTCTCCTAAGATTGTTTAGGAGAAGAGACGTAGATCATGCCTCTTTGTTGCATGCATTTGCATCTTTAACAGATCAGAGCACAGTTTGAAACATTGTTTAGATCTTACTGAAGTTCTACATTTGCTCTCCATTTACTTTAATTGCTGTTTCATTTGTAATGCTTTCTTTCCTACAAGAACATAGATACATAATGGCATTCTTAAATGCACTTCATTTAAGCACCAACTTTGTCTCAAACCAAAATACTAGACAGAACTCATTTACTCTACTATTTGTTGTTGAAAACAGGTGCACTGTTCAATATTTGTGTGAAAGCAGTGATACTTTTTTTTTTCAAGATTCAAGATTCGATAAGAAGAACAGCATGTGAAATAGAAATCTTTTGTAACATTAGAAATGTCTTTATTGTCACCTTTTAGCAATTTAATGCATCCTTGCTGAATAAAAGTATTAATTTCTTTCAAAAAAGTTCCCAAACTTGTGTAAGGGAATTTAGCTCAAAGGGAATCATTTAAGATTTTATAGGGAATTTGGACAGAATCACTGTTTTACGGCTGATCACTGAGTCGGCCAGCGATTCATTGAACGAGCCGTATAACATCAGTGAACGTGAGGGTGTATTCTGTGAGAAGCAGAGGTCAAAAGGGGACTAGAGGGAATTTCAGTCTGGTTCTTGTCTCCTAGGTGGGGGGGAAGTCAATCCGAAGAAAGTCTTTAGCTCTGTGATTACTATCATGGATTTACATGAGATGGTCATGCTGTGCATCTGTTTGACCATCAATCTTGGTTACTTGCTCCAAAATTAACAATCTCCTTTCTGAGTTGAAATTATCAATGTGTTATTTTGTGTTAATGTTGAAAGCTGCTAGTTTGCTAGGCTCACTTCAGACCCGTGGCTCGCAATTAAATCTCTATCAGCTCGAACCATATGGAAGCCAGGAACATTAGAGTTCTGATTTACGAACATCCTGTTGTCTTGGGCCTCTTTGTGGAATTCAGCTCTTTGGCTTCAACACCAGATTCGGTTCAGCACCAATCTGACCAAATCTTAAATTGTCTGATTTGCTCTGATGCCCTACACTTGCCAATATACTGTTATTGTACCATCTTGGTATTTTTTTTTTTAAACCGTAGTTCCTTCTGTCTATCTGTACTTTCAAGCTTGAAGCCTTTTTAAACTTTTATTTTCTTTAGCTTTAAGACCAGTTGTCAAGTCAACATCCAAGTTCATTTTGATTTCCTTTTCTAGTTTATAATGGCTTCTGCTCACCACTTGTTTGATTCTGTGTTTTGTGACAGAGAGGGAAAGATGGTCGTACTGTCCCTCGCGATCGGATTGGTCGAACAAGATGACTTCGCCAACCTTCCAGATCTACAGGAGGCACCAGCTGACAAGGAAACACCTCCCGCCGACAAAAGGTAATGGCTGGTTTAAAACAGACAGTTTAATTTCCATATATGCTCAAAATAAGCAGATATATAGCAGCTTAGGTTTCCTTGATTATCCATGCATAATTTTTTGATAAATCATGTTAAAATGTGAGTATCGTATATGATCATCAGGTTTTTGAGAAGCTTTTATTTGTTCCTTTCATTATGGTATTTCATTTCATTATATGTTTTTAACTACAAAGCTTTGATCATAAAACTAAACACTTAAATATCATCTTAATAGGACATACGTATTATTGGGAGAAATAGAGTGACAACTGATATTTATAAGCATTTTATGTAAGTAGTCTGCTACTGTTATAAACATCTCATTGATTTACATTACTAATCATCAGAATTTCATCTTACTTTTTGACCATATAAATATCACTAACTGCACCAGATTGCTTCTTTTTTTTTTTTGCTCAGTTTGAGCCTCTGAATTTAATTAAACTTGAAGGAAACTTTTTTTCCTCCTCAAGTATTAGCTTCATATTCTCACTATATCACACTATATGAGCCATAAAAGCCTGATTTATTAAATATGTAAAGGTTCCTTTACATTCCTTTACAAAGAACCTTTACATCTATGTATCTAACTATCTATCTATCTATCTATCTATATATATATATATATATTAGGACTGCCCCCGACTAAAAATGTTTCTGGTCGACCTAGTAGTCGTTCATTTTAAGCATTAGTCGACTAATCGCACATTTATTAATAAACCATTTAAATCATTATAATGAGCCTTTAACCGCCTACATAGCCTAATAAGCGCTCAAGCACACGCATAAAGCTTGCCACAGCGCACCACAGAAGCTAATGATTAAGAATGTGTCAGGGAAAAACAGTTAAGGAGGCTGCATTAGCATTTTAATAATTTATTGATAAGCTACTGCTTTTTTTTTTTTTCGGTTTAAGAGATGAAGTCGACGTAACTCGTCATCTCCGCAGTAGTGATGCGCCTGTATGCAAGTTTCATACGGATTACATAATCCAAGAATATTTGTTTTCCATTTGATTTGGTTCATTTGAAAGTAGACATTTCACTCTCTATGGATATATTTTTTCTATGTCTGTAAGGCAAGCATACACAGAGTTTCGCGCTCAAGTTCACGGAGGGCAGAACGGCAGCGACGGCAGAAAGTGCATCCTGTTTGCTTTCATTATTTTACAAAAGCGCAATGTTTTATTGTTATTGTGAGTGCACATAAATAAACGTAGAGTCTTTACACATTCGAAAGATGTATTACTCTTGTCTGTATGACCAGAAATGACGGAGTATTTAAAGAGCAAGTGACCGCACTGGCACCTCCGTCTGTCCTGCAGTGAGCACGCTTCTACACTCCACACAGACACTTCAATAGTGCACATTTTTTCTAGGTTAGCCTAACATTAGATTGAGTGGTCATGTAAAATTGCTAATACTTACATATTTCAGATGATAAGCCATATTTGTGGTGGATGAATGATAGGTGAGCGTTTGGATGTTCTGCCCGATGTAGGCTATTGTATTTCCATAGACTAGTCGTTAACGATTTGTCCATCACGAACTGCGTGACTTTGCCTGTGGATTTTTTTTTTTCTGCGACTAAGCGACTAAAAAAATTTTGGTCAACCGAGCCTCTTCTGGTCGACTAACGGTTAGTCGACTATTAGGGGGCAGCCCTAATATATATGCATATATATATGTATACTGTATATATATGCAATGACAAGTATTTCATTATATTATTATGGATGTTTTACAGTTGACTATTCTTTTTTGGAGGGCTTTTAAGAGTGTGAAATGGACTTATATTTGTGTTTGTCTGCTGCTGTCTTTGACGTCACATCTCAGCTTTTGGTTTTAAGTCCACAGGAAGTGTGAGGTGACCAATCAACTGTTAGTCATTGGCAAGTGCTGAAGTATGATGTTTGATTTTTGCTAATGAAGTACTCCATCCACACAAGCTTATCACAAAATCAATGGTCGTCCTTGTGTATCCTACCCGGTTATCAATCACAGTGTCAATGAGTCCTACCAGGGAGTTTACTTCCTCTGCTCGCAACGTTTGACTTTGTCTTAAAGGAATAGTTTACCCAAAAATGCAATTTTACTCACCTTCAAGCTATCCAATATGTAGATGAGTTTGTTTCTTCATCAGAACAGATTTGGAGAAATGTAGCATGTCATCACTTGCTCAGCAATGGATGCTCTGCAGTGAATGGGTGCCGTCAGAATGAGAGTCCAAACAGCTGATAAAAACATCACAATAATCCACAAGTAATCCACACCACTCCAGTCCATCAGTTAACGGCAGTTAAGCAAAAAGCTACGTGTTTGTAATAAACAAATCCATCATTAAGGCAAAAATCGCTAGCCCAACATCCCAGGACCATTGTGTCTTCCAGTTGGGCTACCAAAATATATCACTGCCTTGCCCGACAGGCTTGAATACAGGGTTCCCACGGGTCCTTAAAAAGTCCTCAATTTAGCTGTATCAAATTTAAGGCCATAAAAATACCTTAAATGGTATAAATACTTAAATACCTTAAATAGTATAACAAAAGTCTTAATTATAATTTCAAGAGGTCTTACATTCAGGGATGGAAATACAAGAATATGATTTCATTGAATAAGTATGGGCGTTGCACGTTTCAAAGGAACCGACTGTCTTCAGAAAAGTTTCGATGACATTTTCTTTTCATCTTTCTTACCTATAATGCCTGATTAAGTCGCATTTATGAGAGCAGCGCTGCTTTGTCTACTGCCGTTACCATGGAAACTGATATATTTCTGCCATTCCAAAAGCGCCTCCTGCTGGCAGAGAATGAATTTGCATGTTCAATAATCCCGTCTTCTGTTCTGACCAATGCAAATATCGACCCATGTTTTTTACGCAGCAAACACGTAGAGTTGTAAATGTGAAAGAAGCTAATGTACCTTCTAAAAATATAAACAATTCAGACAGTAAAATATATATTTATATGTTTTAAATTAATATAATAATTGATATAATAATCTCATCCCTTTCCTTAAAAATGGTTTAAAGGCTGAAATTTGATGTTTATCATTATTTGTGATGGTCAAAAAATGGTCATAAAAAGCCTTAAATAAAAAAATAAAAATTCTGCAGATACCCTGTAAATAGTGAGATAAAATTATTTCCTTAATATTTGTTGATATTTGTGTTTTGAAAATATTTTTCATTGATTTTTCAACTCCTATCCAGTTTTCTTAAATAAAAATGTGTCTTTTTTTATTTGGGCTAGTTACATTTATTTTGGGCTACCAAAATCTGAAGAGTGCCTGCCCAAGGGCTACGAGGGATTTTGAAAATTTGCAAGCCCTGAATATTATAGAGGACTGTCATTTTACCTGGAAGCAATGGTTTGAAATCCTTAATGATGGATTTGTTTCGTGTGGATTACTTGTGGATTATTGTGATGTTTTTATCAGCTGTTTGGACTCTCATTCTGATGGCACCCATTCACTCCAGAGGATCCACTGGTGAGCAAGTGATGTGATGCTGAATGTCTCCAAATCTGTTATGATGAAGAAACAAACTCATCTACATTTTGGATAGCCTAAGGGTGAATCAATTTTCAGCAAATTTTAATTTTTGGCAGTAATCTTGTTTTATTGTTTTTTTTCTTGAATCCTCATCTGGCTTATTTGGGTTGTCATTTTGAACTTTTTTGCTATCATCACACATTCACTTTGGTAGTCCTCTCGCTTTCTCTCTCTCTCTGTGATCTGTGTTTCAGCGAGGTGTCGGATCGCAGTGGGGGTGTGCTCATTATAAGAGAGTGTAGTCCCAACTAAAAATACACAACTCCTCCGTCTGGTTGAGACATGTATCATGCACACGCACACGCACATGCACACACACACACCATTCTGGCTTCTGCCGGGAGAATAAGTCTTGACTCTTTAAACACACATCAACCCACACAAATAGACACACAGCACTTTATAACCAGACACTCTCAGGAGTTCACAGTCTCTCCGCTTCAGACTAGTTAAACTGGAGTGTAGAGGTCTACAACAGGACGGGTTTTTCCATCTTAGTCCAGCAAGTTTCATTCCCCACCCGCCCGGGAATTTTACTCTGTGTCCATCTGCTCCCAATTTATAATCATTTTCATCCCGTCTGCTCAGTCAAGGTCCATTCCCACAATCTGCCATGATCAGGGAAAACCTGGAAATATGAGGTTGTTTTAAAATGCCAATTTCCACGAAAAGTCATAAATAATACTTTTTAATAATAATGCTAACGATATTACTACTAACATATAATAATAATATTATTATAAATAATAACATTTCTTCTTCTTCTAATTATTATTAATAAATAATAAAATCTTAAAAACAAAATGTTTTGAAATGTGGTAGGTAAAATGAGGTATTGTATGAAATCAGCATGAATCATTTCTTGATGTTAAAGTATAAAAATGCAGAAAAATATTGTGTTTTCAGTTCATGTATTTATGTATTTATTTATTTACCACTACTTGATCAGTGAAAACCTGGAAATATTAAAAACTATTTTTTATGTTAATTTCCAGGAAAAGTCCTAAAAATAATTTATTATTATTATTATTTAAAAGTATTGTTATTCAATTATTATTATTATTTTAATTCAATAATAACATCTTAAAACCGTCAAAAATTCACAAAACATTGTAAAATGTCCTCAAAATGTTTGAAAACCCTATAGGCAAAGTGAGGTTTTGGACAAAATCAGCGTAAATCATTTCTTTGCATAAATACAAAACTATTTTATGTTTTTTTTGTTCATTCATTTTTTATTTAATAAAATATGTTTTAATAGTTTGTTTTGTCCTTTTTCAATGCAAAGTCATCTAAAATGAGAAGGATTTATGCTGATATTGTCCAAAACCCCACTTTGCCTAGGGCAATTCAAAACTTTTGGAGGACAACTGTATATTTATGCAAATTATACTGCATTGTTCCTCTTGCTTTGCCGGAATTCAAATC